CAGCTCCTGCTGTGATCAAGCAAGAGACAGATTTGAGTATGAACAACAGCCTCTTTGTGTAGATAATGTGCCTGTTTGGCAGAAATTATTTACAGCTTATTTCAGCTTTCAGCTTAATTTAAGCTATTTTAATGTGTTTGGTTTAGCTTATAGCTTATAGCTTATAGCTTTGTGGAAGTCAGAAATCAACTTATTCTTTGAGTGGGGCAGGAGATGCTTTAAGAATAAGCTGGAAATCAGCTTAAGCTGAAAGTTATAAGTTTTCAGCTGTTTAGGCATAAGCTATAAGCACTTTCCCACAGCTCTACCAAACAGGGCTAATGTCAAAAGGTCCATGTTGGCAGCACCAACTTCCGTTACTCCTAAGTTACTGTCTAATTGATTCCTCAAACAAAACCTGAAAGAAAGAAAACATATCTCCAAATGGACTATCCATGAACTTATGCCACTTTTTCTTGAGTTACGGACTCCTTTATAGATTAGGCTTCTAATTGAACAAAAACCAAAGCCTTTGCCATATCATTTTAACCCATAAAGAAATAACTGAAAGACCCTTAACTAACATTGGGCCTTTTCCAAGTGAGAATCATTATGGGGTATTTTTTTTATTTTTTTATTTTTTTCAGCAACAAAGAAGCATTATTTTATTAAAGATAAAATGAGGAGATAAAAAACGAAGAGGGGACAAGATGTCCACCAAAAGGAAGGGGGGTGGGGTGGGGGGGAAATACAAGTCATGTAGAGCTCCCAAAGACCAAACAAAAAAATCATGTCCCATAAGCATGCAACTTCTTCAAACTTATCCTACAAAATTCTTGCATTATTTCCTACTACACTACTCAAAACATGGCACAAATAACAACTCCAAAGACCTTGAGCCTTTCTATGGCACCAAAGCCTTTGTAACTTTCTTTTTTTTTTTTTTTTTTTTTTTTAAGCCTTTGTAACCAATCACAAGCAGCTGGAACTACCCAATCAACCTCCACCATCTGAAACAATTTGTACTGTAATGCCAAAACCACAAATCAATGCAAAAACAAGTGATCAATCCAATCTAGGGGGAGAGGATCCAACTGTTCTGGTTGAGCTCAAACCAATCTAGAAGTTCAATTTGCTCCTACTGTTTAAGTGATGGTTCTGTTTTCGCAATTCGAAGTTACAAAAGCATTGTAAAGATTAACAAAATTTGGAAACAAATGTTAGTTGTATTGCAAAAGATAAGTCATCAAACGAAATGATGATGAAAAGTAGAAAAAGAAGAAAATAGTGTAAAATACAAACCCATCTATTAGTTGAATTTGACTACTAAATTCTGGTGAAATGGATAAAAAAATTTCAACATCACAAGAACAAAAATATGAACCACATTTAAACTCATCCATACCAAATAAAAAAGAGAGGAAATCATAGATTTGATCTCAAGATATAAAGATTATAGAAACTTCACAGCCTGAAAAACAAAATACCTCTATAGGAGCCAAATTATGCTTCTGAAATTTGGTTTTCTTGTAAGCTATCACCATGCTTCCCCATCTATATGGAGCAGCCCATATTTTCCCTTCAGGATCTAAGTTTCCCTCACTGTTCCTGCATAAATACACCTGAGACTATTTTAGAAGCTACAGTCTTTTATTAGCAACAAAGAAAATTGTATTAGGAACGTACTGAACGGGAACAACCCTTTTACAATAAAAAGAAATAAAGAAAACTAAGGGTTGCCACAACAAAGGTCAAAATTCTATGAAGGCTCCCATTGTATAAAATTCATTTCAAACCAGTCAATGTGAAATTCTTCCCACTTCCCAGTGTCACGCCCCGAGAATTCTGTGACACAAGGAGCAACATTTGAGGGATGCTGGAAGGTTCCGGAAGGCTTGAGAACGTGCTAGAGCATGCTGGAAGACTCTAGAACGTGGTGGAAGGGTCCCGAGTGGCCTAGAAGATTCTGGAACGTGGAAGAACCTTGAAGTGTCCAGCAGAGTCTGGATGGGTCTGGAACATCCTAGATTATGCTTAACCCAGCAGATGATCCAACTAGGTACGTTTTGAACCCTAACCCTAGAGGTGTAGCTCTGATACATTGAAGCTTGGGTAACCAGCTTGGGGAATGATAGAATATCACCCCCTATTTATAAATGAAGATTAGGGTTTACAAGAAAGGCAATTACAAGATGATCCCTGAGTGCTATCCCTGAGTGCATAAAATGATTACAGACAGACCTTAGTGTACCTTTCGGCTATGTTACATGGACTCGTCACTTTGGGGCGAAGTACCCGTGTCGACACGACACGACACGGGTGCGGGTGTGAGATCTGTGTCGGATTCGCCTCGTCTCTCTCGGACACGGCACTTTACAGACAGCAAAGAAATGGAAGAGGAGAAAGGAAGAGAACCTGGTCACTGTTGTCTTCGATCATCGATCACGATTAGGGCTCTCACTGTTGATCACGATCGTCTTCGTCTAGGGCTTCGATCACTGTCGATCTCGACCTCGAGCTCGATCGCCTTCGTCTCTCCCTTCGTTTCTGCTTCTCTCTCTCTCTCTTCGTCTCGTCTCTGCTTCTCTCTCTCTCTCGTCTCTCGTCTCTCAATCTGTTCTCTCTCTTCGCCTCTGTTTTATAGAATAGATATATACCGATCATATATAATATATATAATATAATTTATCATATATAATAATAATTTAAATTATTATTCATATTACATTTACATTAATATATAATATATAGTATAAATTACATTAATATAATAATATGTAATATTATTCATCTAAAAAAAATTATATAATACAATAGATATTATATAAATTATATAGATATTATATAATAATTATTGTATAACATATAAGATATTTATAAGATAATATATACTTATATATATTAATAAAAATAAATAAACACATATATGTAAAATAATTATTTGTTATTTATATAATATAACTCATCTTAATAACTATATTTAAAATATATATATATATTTAACGTATCCCCGTACCCGTATCTAAATTTGGATACATATCCACGTATCTTAATTTTTAATTTTAAAGTGTCTGACCCCTAGATACGCACCCGCACCCGATCCTCATACCCGCGTCCGTGTAACTTAGGGTTCTCCATGGGCCACTAGCAATTAGAGTTGCTAAACTTGTCATAAATTACAAAAGAACAGAGCACTATTACATGAAAGTGTGCATCCACAAGATTAGCACCGGTGGTCAAGTAACAGAATTAGACTTTTGTATGAAAAACAACCACTTTGTGTAGACAATGACAAGAGTTAGGTAGTCAATGGTTAACCCTTATGCAGCTCCTGCTGTGATCAAGCAAGAGACAGATTTGAGTATGAACAACAGCCTCTTTGTGTAGATAATGTCAAAAGGTCCATGTTGGCAGCACCAACTTTAGTTACTCCTAATTTACTGTCTAATTGATTCCTCAAACAAAACCTGAAAGAAAGAAAACATATCTCTAAATGGACTATCCATGAACTTATGCCACTTTTTTCTTGAGTTACGGACTCCTTTATAGATTAGGCTTCTAATTGAACAAAAACCAAAGCCTTTGCATATCATTTTAAAATGCTCCGGCACTTCAATTGTATGTAACATTTGAAAAGGAAAAATGATCCGCAGGATAAACAAGGCTATATAAAGAGGCAATCCTTTACAGGGGCAGGGCTATGCGTAATTCAGTGGTGTCAATTGACACCACCAAACTTTCAAATTTTGTTTAAATATATATGAAATTTTGTTTAATAGTTTTGGATTTTAACAAAATGACCCCAGTGTTTGAAGCTATTCATTGTTTAGTGGTGTCAATTTTAACAAAATAACCCCAATGAATCTAGATAAATATCACATATATTTGGAGCTATTCATTGTTTAGTGGTGTCAATTTTAGCTCAGTGTTCGTTCATTCATTTGCTCCATCAACGCTTCATTCTCTAACAACCATTGTTGCATTGCCATTGATACATTTCTTCATTTGTTCACTCTCTCTCTCTCCCTCTGAATGACCCCACTGAGGGGAATTCCTGGCTACGCCACTGATCCTTTATTTACACTGTTGTCCATAAAGAAATAACTGAAAGACCCTTAACTAACATTGGGCCTTTTCCAAGTGAGAATCATTATGGGGCTTTTTTTTTTTTTTTTTTTTTTTTTTTTTTCAACAACAAATAAGCATTATTTTATTAAAGATAAAAAAGGAAGAGGGGACAAGATGTCCACCAAAAGGAAGGGGGGTGGGGTGGGGGGGAAATACAAGTCATGTAGAGCTCCCAAAGACCAAACAAAAAAATCATGTCCCATAAGCATGCGCAACTTCTTCAAACTTATCCTACAAAATTCTTGCATTATTTCCAACTACACTACTCAAAACATGGCACAAATAACAACTCCAAAGACCTTGAGCCTTTCTATGGCACCAAAGCCTTTGTAACTTTCTTTTTTCTTTTTGATCAACAACCAAAGCCTTTGTAACCAATCACAAGCAGCTGGAACTACCCAATCAACCTCCACCATCTGAAACAATTTGTACTGTAATGCCAAAACCACAAATCAATGCAAAAACAAGTGATCAATCCAATCTAGGGGGAGAGGATCCAACTGTTCTGGTTGAGCTCAAACCAATCTAGAAGTTCAATTTGCTCCTACTGTTTAAGTGATGGTTCTGTTTTCGCAATTCGAAGTTACAAAAGCATTGTAAAGATTAACAAAATTTGGAAACAAATGTTAGTTGTATTGCAAAAGATAAGTCATCAAACGAAATGATGATGAAAAGTAGAAAAAGAAGAAAATAGTGTAAAATACAAACCCATCTATTAGTTGAATTTGACTACTAAATTCTGGTGAAATGGATAAAAAAATTTCAACATCACAAGAACAAAAATATGAACCACATTTAAACTCATCCATACCAAATAAAAAAGAGAGGAAATCATAGATTTGATCTCAAGATATAAAGATTATAGAAACTTCACAGCCTGAAAAACAAAATACCTCTATAGGAGCCAAATTATGCTTCTGAAATTTGGTTTTCTTGTAAGCTATCACCATGCTTCCCCATCTATATGGAGCAGCCCATATTTTCCCTTCAGGATCTAAGTTTCCCTCACTGTTCCTGCATAAATACACCTGAGACTATTTTAGAAGCTACAGTCTTTTATTAGCAACAAAGAAAATTGTATTAGGAACGTACTGAACGGGAACAACCCTTTTACAATAAAAAGAAATAAAGAAAACTAAGGGTTGCCACAACAAAGGTCAAAATTCTATGAAGGCTCCCATTGTATAAAATTCATTTCAAACCAGTCAATGTGAAATTCTTCCCACTTCCCAGTGTCACGCCCCAGCAGCCCATATTTTCCCTTCAGGATCTAAGTTTCCCTCACTGTTCCTGCATAAATACACCTGAGACTATTTTAGAAGCTACAGTCTTTTATTAGCAACAAAGAAAATTGTATTAGGAACGTACTGAACGGGAACAACCCTTTTACAATAAAAAGAAATAAAGAAAAATAAGGGTTGCCACGACAAAGGTCAAAATTCTATGAAGGCTCCCATTGTATAAAATTCATTTCAAACCAGTCAATGTGAAATTCTTCCCACTTCCGAGGTATATACACCAAAGTAGGAGCCAGATGTAAAGACCACCAGATAAATAATTTGACAAATAAACCAGCTCTTTGTGTATGAAGCCCTACCTACAAAGTGATATACCTATTTATGGGAATCATGATTAACCCTGTGCATAACTCAAATTCAATGAATACTAGGAAGCTACTACTTCTACCAATTACCACATAGATTCATTAATGTTTTCATTTAAGCCAATTGATTTCAGGCAATTGGCTACATTAATCACAGGAAAATTTTCACTTTGCCCCTAAACCACCAATTTTAACAATTAGCACCTTAAACTATTGAAATTGTTTCACTTTGACCCAAATTGTTACAGGCCTTACAATTATTTGACAAACAATTTTGCATTGCCCCTCAAACTGTCACATTTGTATCACTTTACCCCTTCAACTATCAAGTTTAACAAGTGACACCTTAAACTATTGAGATAAATTCACTATCTCAAATCATTAACAACATTACAATTGATCACAAGTGATAGTGCAAGACCAACTGGAATAACTGGAGAGAAAAAAGAGCCCTTATCCAACCAAATTAATATCAACTACAAAGAAAAGACAATAATTCTACAATTCCACGGGGGTGGTTGTGTTTTAAAACCACCAAACAACTTCGTATTCTTACCTTTTTATCTTGGTTCTCTCTCTTTTTTAAAGTTTTGGCAGCTTGTCTTTCTTTTCTCCTTGTTTTACTTTAAAAATTGGTTTGCTATAAAACCATTTGTACGTGCAAATTATGTGCAAAATGCTGGTATGGATTTGGCAGAAGAGAAGCTCTACTTTCCCTCTAGTGCTCCTTACACTATATGATGCAAAATATAAGAAACTCAAGGCTAAATTCAAAGAAACTATGATATTTGAACATTGACATGATTTCAAAGAAAAACTTATAGGAATCTTATATAACTATGTTTCTAGTATTATTATAGTCTTCTTTCATGATTAGTTTATATTTTCTAGGATTTTTAGGTCAGGGATATTTTAGTAATTTTCATATTTGCTAGCATTGGTTGTACGGATCGCTCATGGGTTGTTTTGTGGGTGAAGTTATTTAATTGGTTTTTATTTATGTTTCTTCTTTAGTCTTAAATTGGTTTTGGAAAAAAGTAGTTTTAGTAGTTTCCTATTTTGATTCTAGTTAGTTTAGGAAGCCTCCTAACTCTATATAAGCCATGTAATGCTTATAATTTAATAGAGTTAATATTTTAGAGAATTTCAAGAGTTTTAAAACTTTCTTATGGATTGTGTGATGCAATTAAATCCTAGGTGTGATGTCTAAGGGATTCTAGGAGTGACTCCTAGAACTATCTCCTTCTATTTTTTCTTCTATGCACACATACATTAGTTACTATTCACTGCCCTCTAAAAGTGCACTTTTTAACCTCAAAACCCCCATCCAATCACCCCAAATCAACCCTAATCCCTTCCCCTACCTATTAGCCTTCAATTTAACCATTAAACCCTAAATTACTCACTGTTTAGGCCATCAAAAAACCTCTGTTTTGAAAGTTCAGCAAGCTGTCCTACATTGCTATAACCTGTGGCCATTCATATGGTCTTCCTTAAAAAATAATAATGTCATAAACAAGATGTGGTAAAGCGAATTAATGTTAATTGTTAAATTTGATAGTTCAAGTATGATAGTTCAACGGGCAACGTGAAAATTTTCGTCAAACAATTGTAACACTGCTAACAATTTGGGGCAAAGTGAAATAATTTCAAGAGTTCAAGTGTTAATTGTTAAAATTGATAGTTCCTCGGGAAAAGTGACAGGTGTGATAGTTTGAGTGGGCAAAGTAAAATTTCCCCCTGATCAGTGCCTTTTAGAAGCAACACCTTTTAGTCTTGGACCTCAGCAATCCCAACCAATAAATAGCCTCTGAGCAAATAATTCATGGTCAAGGATATAGTTGGAAAGGGATGAGTACCCCCAAATTTGTTAGCCAACAACTTGACCGCTAAGGATGCTCACGCGATGCAAGAAAGCGTGTAGGAACTAAGGGTTGAGCAACAAGAACAAACACAAACACACAAATAAGAGAAACTCTCTCTCTAGGAAATATTACCAATCCCCAGAACTAAGGCTGTAACACCCCAAATAATGCCATGTTCCATGATCACATCCATATCCATCTTTGAATGTCCTAAACGAAATTAGCTATCTCATTACACAAAATACTTCAAGTAAAGCTTAAAAATGAATAGTTAAGAAGCTTTGAACACGTGAATTTCCTTGTTGACTATTAAGAGTTAGGAAGTAGTCACCTTTTAAATTTAGAAAACAAATACGTACCACACTGGAAGCATTCTTACATGACACGATTGAATACTTACTCTAGTTTAATTACCTTACAATGCACTAGAGATAGAAATATGGATTGCTATGATAAAAACATAAAAGATAAATGCAATTTGTGAGGAATTTAGAAGGAATACATGTGTTAAAACTAGAAGACTTAAAAGCTAGAGCACACTTGGGTGAGGAACCTTAAGTGTAGGAATTTTTGGTGAACAATAAGAGCTAGGAGATGAGTTCAACTTGAATTTAGAATGCCCTAGACATCTTGAAAACCTTAATTGAGAAGCTTAATAACTTAGGTCTAATAAATATAACTTTCTGAACACTTCGTTGATAATTACGCGAGATTAGTAATAATGCGTGATTAATTAGACCTAATCAATATTAATTAAGTAAATGATAATTAGAGACTAATATTAATTAATTAGTACTATGGATGATTACTTAGGCTAATGAAAGTAATAAGTGAAGCAAAGAGGTGAAGCACCTACCTCAAGAGTTGATGACACACGAACCTTAACAGACAAGTGTCTCTCTTGTAGTAGAAAAATAAGAAAATAGATATATATATATATATATAGAGAGAGAGAGAGAGAGACTTGCTGGAAATTCTCAGAAATTGGCAGAAGAAGAAGAAGAAATCATCACAAGCTATGAAAGTTTTAATCTTAGCCTAAAAATTAAGCAAAAATCATCACAAGCTATGAAATTCTACCCTCTTTCACATGATATATATTAACCAACAAGAAAATGATTTAGGATAGGTTCTTGAGAGAATAAAAGGAAAAAAAATGGAAAAGAGATGAAAAGAAGCTAGCGTAGAGAAGCATGTGTAGGAATTCAATCATTTGCTTGAATAAATCTAAGGGTTTTGTGTAGAATCTTGAACCCATCATTTTTGTATGTTTTGTATTGAAAATATATCAAGCTTAGATACTTTTAATTGAATGAAACAAGAAGAAATAAAAGGAAACCAAGTTAGGAAAGAAATTTGCTTGAAATGATTAAGAGAAAGTGAGTGGTCTTCACTAATTCGACCATATCTCCTTCTATAGTTGGAATTTTGGAGTGAGACTACCGCCACTAGAAACTAGACTTCCGGGGCTTGAATTTACACTCAAGAATCGCCCAAAACCGAGTCCGGATGAAAACGATATGCGCATTTGATGTTAGATCGGAAAGTCTGTTGCACCAATGACCGCACGTGTGGCCAACACAACCGTGCATGCGGCCAGCACAAAATTCAGCACTGCATAAGCTCCGCCCATGCGGAGCCTGAGGGGCGCACATGCAGCCAATAGAGCAATTGCTCAGTTTTGCTCCTTTTTAACTCCTTTTGACTTGTTGAGCCTCTGTTCACCTGATTAGAACTTAAAATAACCTTGAATAAGACTTGAAAATTGACCAAGAAAAGAAGTGTATGATCAAACGAGAAACATTGAACCTAGGCTAGCACACACCTGAATTAGGACCGAAAATAGTAGTATTACATCGTCTTGGACCATATTTCATTGAAGGCTTGGATTGTGCTTGTGTAGGTTACATCTTTGGAAGTCATTCCCCTTTCCTAAGAGCCATTGGTGAGTAATATTATTGTAAAGTTATGTTTAAAAGATTATTTTGAAACTCAAGAATGTATCATGCTTTGAGAAAAATTGATTTTGTTTCGGAACGAATGAATATCATATATTCTTGTATTAATGAACTAGATGGCATCCTTGGGATGGTCCGGGCTACTAGGGGACCTTAACATGCTAGAGGGATGATGTTCGAGATCTCACTTGCCACCCAAGGGTTGGTTCGTCTAATCAGTGTATGGACCGGTTATGTGCTTGTCATGTTTTGGGCCCATGGATGTGCAATACTATTTTATGTTTTGGATATGTTTTCGAATCACATTACTCTTGAAAGAAGCTCTTGAAATGCTATGTCCTGAAATGAGATACTCGTGATGAAATGACTTGGAATTTATTGAACTTGATATATTGATCTATGTTTTGTAAACTCATTCGATATTCATTCATTACCACTTTACCGTAATATTATTCACTGGGATTTGGCTCACCTCATTTCCCTTATGTAGGTAAAAGAGGAGTCATGGAAGGTTTTGCTTCTTGAAGTAATATGTAAATGCTTGTGAGAAGGGAATTGTACTTAGCTTTGGAAGAAATGTTCTTTTGAAAAGTTGTGCTCCA